GACGACATATTCAGGCACGCCGCCGGCACATCCTGGCCGGAAAACGAGTCCGTATCGACAACCATGACCGTGTAATTCGGGTTCTTACTCAGGCAAAACACCGGTTCGAACCGGTGCATCGTGTAGTCGGACCAGTTGTGAGCCGAACAGTTGAGAAACGTGTAGTTTTTGAGGAAAGCAGGTTTGAACGGTGAATGAGAGAGAGAGAGGTTTTGAACCCGGTTCGGGAGACAGAAGTTGGGGTCGTTGATGGAGATCCATTGCTGGAGGTAGTCGATGTGGGTGACTGTGAATTCGCCGGAGTGTGGGAGGGTGAGGACTGTTTGGGTCTGGTTGTTGCAGGAGAGGTCGAAACCCGGGTAGCCGCAGCTGTCGGGTTGGCCGGTTTTGAGGCGGAAGGGGAATCGGATGACGGGTTCGGAGGCGGCGCAGGAGGTGGGTTCGCAGATGTCGACGGATGAAGCTTTGTAGGTGAAGATGGTGAGGGAGGAGAAGAAGAAGAAAAGGAAGAGTGTTGAGGTTTCCATTGGTTGTGAAAGGTTTTTTTTTCTTCTCGTTACATTTCATTTTAGGGCAAATTACGTATACACCCCTCGAGGTTTGGCTAAATTACAGATGCCCCTGAGGTTTGAGAAATTACGAATTCCCCCCTGAATGCTATATTTGCATAAGAAATTAGGGGGTAATTTGTTATGAAATATAAACCTCAGGGGGCAAATTGTTATGAAAATACAAACCTCAGGGGGCGGGATGTAATTTCCGAAACCTCAGGGGTATCTGTAATTTAGCCAAACCTCGAAGGGTGTATATGTAATTTGCCCTTCATTTTAGTAGGTTGATTTTATTTGACAAAATATTATATTAAGTAATTTTAAAATATTTATTTATTATATAATATCTTAACACCATTTTAATAAATAATTTATTAGTTAAATTGATATAACAGTTTTCATAAAATTATATATATTTTTTATTTTTAGTATTTTAATATTTTTAATAAATTTATAAATATTTTAGGCATTTTTTTTAAATTTTTAGATACACCAAACATAAATACACTTAAAAAGTGTAATATTTGTGATTTTTTTTAAATACACTAAATGCCAAAAAATATTTTTAAAAAAATACAAAAATTCAATATATTTTTCGTATTTTTGTTTATCTATTAATTTTTAAAATATTTTTTCACAGATATTTTTCCATTTAGATACATCTAAATAAGCTGCATTTAAAAAAGCAAAAAAATTAATTAAAATTTAAAAAATATTCACTAAAAATAAAAAATTCAAAAAATAAAAAAACTCAATTTTTAAAAAATTAAATTTAAAAAACTGAAACTAAATATATTGATTTTACGTCAAAATTATTAAATTTATTATATTATTTATAAAACTTTATCAGATGTTAGTGTAATCTACCATAATTTAAAATAACAATATGCAAAAACACGTATTGATATTGACAATGGTAAAAAAGTATCAGAAGAATTGAGTGATACTTATAGAGAATTGCGTGTCCCAATAAATAAATAAATAAATAAATAAATAATTTTTAAAATATAGTTCGATATCAGTAATATATCAATATGATAAAAACTCAATACACATTGAAGAAGAAAATTGTTTAAGAGTTTTAAAACAGTAAGCTGTAATACTTCTAAATATACTGTAGCTTTAAATGATTTGATGTTTTATTTTTTGATTTATTTTATTTTATTTTATTTATTTCTTGTACTGCCCAGCTCATTAGAGTTGACTTAGTACTCTTTTTTTAGTGATATGTATCACCACCGATGGAAGAAATTGCAGTTTAATGGGATATTGCAAGAATAATTGTATTATAGATGAAATCTTTTTTTGTACAATTTTGACACACAAATAATGACTTGCACTATGCATAAGAACGATTTACACCATGCATTCAAAACATTTGGAAAAATTACACACTAGTCTTGGAGTACCATGTGATTTTTTAATTTATAGTGATTTTTTAACTTTTTGATTAAAAAACTCACATTTTCAAAAAAATAATATTCAAATATTTCGTTAGGGAGTGTTTGATAATATAATTCTTAAACTAAATGTACTAAATGATAATCAATTAAATTTGTTTCATAATCACAATTGATATCACTTAAAAATTTAAATACCTCTTAAAATGTATGTTAAAATTTAAAAAAAAAATTAAATCATATGAAACTTACTTAATTCTAATTGAATTTATAAATACTAGATATAAGTATCAGTATACACTATTATAAACTCATTATCACCACCACTATCATGCCGCTGCCACCGCCACCGCCACCGCCGCCGTCACCACCGCCACGACAATCACAATTGCTACCACCACCATCATCGCTACCACTACCACCGCTATCACAATATAAAAATTAAAATATATAATTTGAAAATAATAAATTTAAAATTTTTATACATATCAAGTAATTTATTTTTAGTTAAACACTTAAATTTTTATCAAACATTTTTTTAATTTAATAAATTCAGCATTTAGTTTTCAATAATTTTCAATTTTCAACTTTATCAAATAGCACCTTAAGCCTCATTTGAGAACTAAGTATTTTAGTCAAAAAGTCAAAAAATCATTATAAGTTGTTATATCACTCTCTCAACTTTTCTATAGATCTTTTCGTAAAAAATAAAAAAATTATTAAAATTACATATTCCAAACGAGACCTTAGTCTCATTCTACTAGTAGTTTTTAGCTAACGATGGGTAATTATATGGTGAAATGTGTTAACAAAAATTAAAAATTAAACCCATTCTGTGTTTGGCAAGTGGGTTTGCAGGTTTTTTTGGCTATTTTAGCCACAAAAAACAAATAGGCTATTTTAGTCATAACAAACAAAACATCACATCCAACCCATAATCATTACATTCTTCTCTCACAAAAAAACTCAAAAAAGCCAAAAAGTCAAAAAGTCCTTCCCAAACCAAGCTTTTAAGCCCAGGCTAAAATAGCCAAAAAAGCCAAAAAGTCAAAAAGCCAACCCACTTCCCAAACGGAGTCTAATCTTTATTATTTTTTATTATAAAATCCACTTTTAAGTTATTTCCCCGGAAAAAATGATAATGTAATAATTCGATCCAAACATGTCCTTAACATGTTTCATGGAAAAATCTCATTCCATAGGTTGCAATTGAGGCAGGTTTGGCTAGTCAATCAATCATAAATTCAAAAGTAAAAAATAATTAAAAATAAAAATAAACAACTTGGTCAATTAGCATTTCTTGTTATAATATATCAAGAAATAGCAACATGTACCAAAACAATGGACAATTTAAACTTAAAATAGTAAATCACCATCATCAATAATTTTTTTTAAAGATTCAAAGGAATGCCTCTTTGATCTTCGTAGTAACCACTACAGTTATAATAATAGTATTTGGATGATTATGTAGTTATATTATAACGCTATGTGATACTGCTTGTATAATGTTACAATTAGTTAATTAACCAATTTTTTTACAAGTTAGATATGCTACATCACATTTGTTAGATATTTATGAGATAAACAATAGCTCATTTATTAATGTGTATTGTGGGCTAATTTATCATTGGTTGAAAGTATTAAATAGACAATGTCACATAGTATTCAAAGAGTATTTAATAATATTTCTATAATATTGGGTTTAAAATAAAAGATAAAAAGGAAAAAGAAAAAAGAAAAAGAGACAAGATATGTAGAAAAGTCGCTAAAAAAAATTTCCATTTATATCATTTGACAAGTGGTGATTTTAGTTAAAAAGTCAACCGGTCATTAAAAAAACAAAAAGCCAACAACCTATATAAAAAAGTCAAAAATCCCATTTTCTCTCTACTTTTTATCCATCTTTTCGTAAAAAATTAAAAAATAATCTCAAACATATTAATTTTTTTTTACATTATATTTTATCTAAAAAATAAAAAAGTTATTAAAAAAATCTATTCCTAAACGAGGCAGCTTGTGCAAAGTATATATATGTGTTTATTCATTGGGCCTGGAATGGTTTTGTCATATGGGTTATTTCATGGGCTTTTAAGCCTGATTGGTTTTTTGGCCACTGATATCATAAAGCATTCAAGTTTTGTCACAAATGTTTTTAATTTTTAATCTTTAAAGTTTACGCAATGGCATCTAATTAAAAACAAAAACGAGGCAGTTTGTCAAAGAATACACATCTGTTTATTCTTTGGGCCTGGAATGGTTTTGTCATATGGGTTATTTCATGGGCTTTTAAGCCTGATTGGTTTTTTTGGCCACTGATATTATAAAGCATTCAAGTTTTGTCACAAATGTTTTTAATTTTTAATCTTTAAGTTTTAAGAAATGGCATCTAATTAAAAACAAAAATAACCCATATATTAGATGTAATGGATAATATTTTCAATGGTTCTTAATTTGTAATTTTACATTTATTTTTATAACATATGCAATTGGTTACCTTGCTATGTTATTATTCATTTATACGTTGATATCTCTCATTATATTTATTTATATTCTTTCTTATATATATTTTATGATATGTTTGTAGTAATGTTTCGTATATTCTCAAATATTAAATGTTCAATTTAATATTAATCTCTTTATATAAAGGTAACCTTATTTATACTTTCTTTTTATTAAAAGCATTTTATCTTTTTGCCCTTCTTAGAAATGTTGCAAATTTTTAGTTTTTTACACTTTTGCTAATTGCATTGATTACCCATTCATTCTCAATCCTTTATACTTTTGATTCTTTCTCTTTAAAAAACAATTTTGACATGTATGTAAAATTAGATAACAAGCACAAAAGTATAAAAATAATTTCAATAAAAATGAGAGTGCAAAAACCAATACTCTCCTATAAACCCTTATACTAGATGAAACTAACTATATCAATTTATATAATAAAATATATTAATAGAGTTAAGATTTAATGAAATTGACTATCATAAAAACTGTCGTATGTATATCAATAAAAATTAAGATCAAATAAAAGAATAATTAGCGTTGTTTTATGAATAATAAAATGTATTTTGGTAGATATATAAAATGTTCAATTTCTATATCTATATTATATACAACTCCAATCTATTGGCAAAAAAATGTGCATAGATTGAGGGCAAAGAACTCTAAAAAAAGTGAAAAAATTTAGGAGGGACGGGATTACATTTTTTGTTTGATTTCATCAAAAAAGTAGACAACTTGGCCTTCTATTATGGCGGGAAAATGTCCACGGAGTCCCTAGTCTCATATAAAGCCCTAACTCGTCTTCAAGACCCACATAATCTCAACCCTCCTCACTCCTCTCTGCGATCACCTTCTCTATTGTTTTCACCGATAAATTGGTGCCCTAACATGTCTCGAAAAGCCATGTTCGACCTCTTTTCTCGACGAATATAGGTTTTTTTGGCTCTGTACAACAGTCCTCATCAGTTGTTTCGGGTTTGTTCAATCGAATTTGGGGCTTTCACTGAGAAAATTTGTTTTTTGATCTCATTTGGATAAAAATGGCTGATGTGTTTGAAGAGGAAGCTGAAGCTGAGCCCACGGTTTCAATCCACGAGTACCTCAAGGATGTTGAGGATCAGGAATTGGTAACCTCTCTGCCTTGTTTAAAATCTTTTTTTTTTTTTTGGTTCGGTTGCATGCAAATGTCTTGATGTTTTATATTATTTCCTTACTGTGTGTTTGTTTGCTGAGAAAATGGAGGAAAGATAAGTAAATTGAATTCTGGAATGAGGGATTTTTGGTTTTTTAAGGCTGTATTTGGTTGGGGGATTTAGGAAGGGAAAGGAAAAAGATAGTTGAAATATGAATAAATATACATGCATTTTATCTAGTTTCACACACTTTTTCCCTCTCTTTATCTAAATCACTCATCAAATCCCCCAGCCAAACACAGCCTTAGGTGCTGAGGAAACCAAGGACTTACTTCTTAGCTTTTTGTTGGATTGGATTAGTTAATTGGAACCCATAATGCTCACAGTTTAATTAGATTTTATGTCAATCAAATGGTTCTATTGGTTCTTGCCCAATAATTTTTTAGTGTTTGTTGGGCAGAGGATTGCTGAATGTTTAAAGGTCACTTGGTTTACTATGGTTTGCGACAGCTTCTAATGCTTACTGCACTATGAAACAAGCTAGTTTGTTCAATTGTATATGGATGATCAAATACTTAATGGTTCTGTTTCTGGTTAGTTTGTTCAATTGTACGAGAATCCTAAGGCCCTATTAATGTGTTGTCAGCTCAAGTTAACAAATTTTATCCCAATTACATGGACCCATTTGGCTTTATCTCTACTCAGTCAAGTTCATGGCAATGATGTCCTTTTTTAGTATGTTAAACCATGCTCACCTTGGCCTTCCTCTGTTATCTATTTTTGCCCTCAATGTGAATCAAATTACTCCTTGCTGGAGTGTGTGTTCGTTTACGTTGATCTCGAAATGTAAATTATGAATATGGGGAAGAAAATAAAGTTTTGGGATTGAAAGCAAGTTCTAAGAATATGCAATATTTCTTAAGAGAGTACTTGAAAATTATGATTTTTTGAAGAAAGGATTGCTTACTCAGGTATATGTGATTATGCACCTCCAGTGATGTGGCAGCCTCTTATTCTTTTATTTCTATTTATTTTTGGTTTTACTTGTTTATTGTATTTGTTTTCTCTTGCTAGAATATTGGAATTTATTTTGCACAATGGACACTAAGCTCAGAACATCGTTTATAATCCCATACGATTCCAAAGATCACTTTCAATATTAATTTGCTTACTATCCAATTGAAGAGTGAGTGTATGATATCATATAGTTTTTAGTTTTGAGAAGTAAGTTAACAACCTGGTTTTCAGTCTGGTGGTAAGCAGTCTATTTTTTGGGATTTTTTCAAAACTGGTTGAACTAATCCTTTTTGCAATATTAGAATTGTATTTACTCCTAGTCCTCTGCATTTGACCGAGCTTGATGGATTTAAAAAAAGACCACCTATGGTCCCCATAGTCTCCATTTTCCATCTTGTGCTCTTTAATATGGTATTTCTTTTAGTCAAGCTAGTTGAAAATCCACAGTTTGAGTCCATCAGAGGCCAGCCCCTGCACAAATCTTCTCTGCCTACTCTAGATGTTGCGCTTTCAGAGCTTAAAGCTGAAGAGATTTGTATGCGAGTCTTGGCAGAGGTTGATAAAAAGTAACATTGAAGGAATTATATCATTATCTTTTTAAAACTGTTATGCATTCATGTAAGTGAGAAATTTTTATCTAAAATGAAATGAAGGTCATTGTTATAACTTATATTATTATATAATAGCTTGTGTTTATATCTATTTGTATACATGCACAATAGCATGATTATTATCATCATCCATTAAAAATTAGGACTTATGGAATTACCACTATCATTAAACAAGTTACAATGAATTGCAAGAGTGGAAACAAAAAAATAGAAGATTTATATGACATTTACATTAGCCAACAACTCAATTATTATTATTTTTTTTTGAATAATCGAGAATTGATCCTAGGCCCACCCACCCCAGGAGCACAGAATGGGAAAATCTTGTGTGTTCCTAGCACAGGTTTACTGTTGAACATATTTCTTCCTATTTGCTAGGCTAGTATGAGTGTAGCAAAATATTGAAACATTTCATAATGATTGTGAACCAGAAAGACTCACCTAATCCATACGTAAGCGAGAACAGGTTGGAAGTTATCCAATAACAAAATATAGCCTGCAGAGATAAATATATCATGACATCAAAGACCTTGGTTTAAAATGTGGACGCGAACTTCTCATTCAATCACTTACAATAAAGTAGATAAATACTAAAAGCAACTGGCACAACACACACAGACAGAAATTGATCTTAACCAAAAGAGATGAATATAAAACAGAACAATGATGCCAAAATCATAGCAAAAATTGTGATGAATTTTTTTAAAAAGAGTACAAAGATGACAAAACACTAACAAACTCAAGTAGTCTTTCCTGCCAACCTCGAAAAGCAGGACAAGAGTCCTAGGTATGACATGGGTTTGTGTTTTATGTCCACACCACACACACATAACAAACAAATAAAATGGGCCCCATAACTAATCCTTTAATTCCATTTCAGCATGAAGTAATCTCCCTAACCAAACACTGTCTAGAGCATTTTCTGTTTTTTCATGCCACAAACATTAAATGCCAAAGTACATCTTCACTACAATCAGGCTGATTCATTCCCTATTTAATGTCTTTATACTCAAAAGGATAGATTTCCAATTTACCACACTACACGATTCACAAATAATATATATATATTATACAAACCATATGTGTTGAAGAAAGATCTAGAATCAACATCTTATGCACTCTTTCAAATTTTCAACTACTAATAGTAGAAAAAATAAAATTTCTATGAAGTAACTTGTTTAGGCAATCTCACCAAAAGACAAAGCTCTTACAAATACCTTTATGAGATGAAGAAATTAGGGCTTTGAAACCCTTGAGTAGCAGAAACTATAACATAGGTCTGGTACTTTATGTGGCTGTGTGCCTGTCCAATGGTGTTCTATGATTTGTCCAACAAGAAACCATGTAAGCATTTAGCCCCTTATATTTGCCAAACACACTGCCAACATAGTATTTCCAGAATACAGGATAATTACTCCTTTGGGTAGGAGCGGTCCAGTGTGTGGTAATGAAAGCAATATATGTATGTGTTTCTAGAAGCACAAAATGACAAACAAATGAAATATGCATACATTAACATCAACCCCTCCATCCAACCAGGGAATTCAACCATTTATATGGAATTATTTATTATTACTATTAATGATAGAAAGTATCTGTAAATACAACATAATATGCTTGTGCAACTAATGTTGCCAACAAGTATGTACCTTCGGGAAAGTCATCGTAAGTGGAACTGTAACAATAGCAAAGACCCTTGAAACATTTTTCATGGTTTTAGCAGCAGGATTACCTTCCATACCTTCTTGCATGTTGCACTGAGAAAAGGTTGGATGTTAGTTAATAGAAAACTGATTCAAAACAAAGTAGCAGGAAGAATAACTGAGTGAAACAAAAAAAAACATATCCAGCACATGATGGCGAGTTACAGGATCCAAAGCCAAAAAATAACACATACATTTATAACGACCAACTCAGGTTGATTCGTTTCTTCTTAGTGAAACAGAAAACCATTGATTTAAGTACCTATTAACAAAATAAACCTAGTACAGATGCATTTAGCAGCATCTAATCATCAGATAACATCACCGGAAATATTCAACCTAATTAAGCATGAGATTTTTTGCTAGAACTGCAACCAAATTTATGCTTCACCATCTGAAGGATGAAGATGCACATAAAGACATACAAGTAATTGCGTCCTATATGTGTGGTTTTAGATACATTTTATATCAAGCCATTAGCCAAACTCTTCCTCTTCTTCTCCAAAACACTACAGGTAATTTGTACAATCCTCCTCAATTGACTCCTGCAACATTTGTTTCTCCATTTACATTATGCTTCTCATATGTTTGGATGTTCACATCTCCACGTGCAAGACAAGAACGCACAAGGAGGAGAGCGTTGGAGAGCTTGATATGCATTGTTGGGCTCCTTTCCTAACAGCTTAAGGTTTGGGGACTAGTGATGATCTAACAATTTGTAACCCTGGTCTACATCCTTTGTCTAAACACGGACCATTGCCAGTTTTATTAGAAAACAAAAGTCTGTTCAAGAGTTTTTTCCTTTTTTCAATCATAATACAAACCATATCCACTATATGGCATTTAAGCCCTCTCCAACTATCCAGAGCACGAGTATCTGAGACCATAGAAAACTTGGTTTGATAGGGAAATAAAATAAGCTTACCTCCTCTGTTATCCAGAATGACAGTGCTGTCAAAACTGGAAAGATATACATACTATCTGGAGTTGTCAAATCTGTAAACCAGTATGCTCCACCATGTTTGAATGAAGGAACTTTTTCTACCATGTTTGAAATCTACAAATAGGGTGTTTAGGTAAATGCAAAAGAAGGAGAAAGACAAAATTAGAAATTGAATTGATTTTTTTTCTGAAACAATTTATAGATTCTTGGTGCACTTAAATATCAAGAAAAAGAAATTCATCTTACAGCAAGGAAAAAACTGACGAAGACAGGACCTTGGAAAAGGAGACCCTTTAATGGTGTAAATGGAGTAACACCGTATCTGCAACATGCAAATTATAATTTCATTCCAAAAAAAAAAAAAAGCCACAGAAACAAATAGAAGCTTGTGGAACAGCAAAGATGTTGAAACTTGAACCTATGTTTAAAAATAAAAACCAAAGGAGAGCATATACATATATGTGGTAGTTACTCGCATAAAGCTACCACCACTAAGCATAACCAAATAGTTATCTTGTGAGGTTAACTATATGGAAAATTGCTAAAAATCGGGAGGGAAGTTATGTTAATCTATAGCAAGATGCATTGGTTTTCTTTTCAAACCCGGGGTAAATTACAAGGATGACAACACCACTTCAACAAGTATCATCATCCTGCATCTTCCATCTAGAATGCATGGTTTTAAACTTCAAATTAATTCCTAAAACCTCCCAAAAGTTGATTTTGCTACTAAAATTCAGTTCAGATTCTATCTGCAATTCTGAAACTCTAAAGTTCTGTAACGGATTTATTAAAACGATCACTTATTGCAATTGTCTCAGCGAACTTTGACCCAAAATTATGTTTTCCGGTAGATATATTTGCTAAACTGAAGTCAGATGATAGAGCAATGGTAAATAGTCTAGATCACACTAAGAAAGCCTTTGTTAGGCTGCAAAAGTAATGGTTACTAAAAGGCATGCAGAAGGAATACATTAGCTGTTTCCGGTCTAGTCAAATTATTTGCTTAAGTTATCACCAATATATATGGTTATGAATACAGTGTAACTTTAGTTACTTAAAGCTGGAACAATGAATACTGGTTTGTGCACGAAATTTTAATATCATTTGGTTCCAACAAGACTACAGACAACTCAATCAAAACAACTACTAGCGGTTATCTATCACGCATATGGAGAAGTAACAAAAGTTGCTTACTCCTTAAATAGTGCCTGCATTCGTTGCTGACCTTCAGCCACAGCTTTAGGTTCCATGCCCTGAGAAAAAATTATTTATTAATTTGCAGTGAAAATATGATTTACATAAATATAACTATGATATGAAAAAAAATCGAACGAACACATACATCTGCAAACAAACAAACAGCAAAAGAGATCATGCATAGGACAAGTGTAAAGAGAATTCCTTACAAGCTACAACACCAATTTGATTAGGAAAGAAATAGAAAACTTTTTATGCTACAACAGCTATTTTGTGATGTGATAGGATTGTAAAAAGCCTGCAAGTTCAGAAATTAAAAGGGTGGAAGAGAGGTTATATGGTCCTAAATATAAGCAAGTTGGAATTGGTTGTAAATTGTTGAAATGGAGAAAGTAGTTGGAAATTCTGAACAGCAACTAATTAGGAAGTTAAAATTAACTATGCAGACCGAAACAAAGTTAACATTTGGGGTTTACAGAAACTTGACAAGGAAGGGATTATGTGATGAAATAGGGGTTTTTGCTATTTTAGAAGAAGAAGAGGAAGACAAATTTATGGCCATATTTGGATGGCAAGAACCATAGACAAGGAGTGGGCAATTCCTTTGTCAGGAATCCCATTTCAAATAACAAAATCCCATGCCAATAGGATTAAACAAAAAGATTACCATTTCAATAGGTATAGATTGCTTGGCCTTTCTTATACCACGATGTAATCCTAATCATCTAGGGTGGGATACACAGATCCTTCTTTACCAATCAGGTCTATGCAAAGAGTTATATAAAGTCCCAAGCAATCAAGTACATTCTGACGGCCTCAAGTCATGTCCTTTTTTGCATATATATTGTCTTTTCCCGTAGTACAGCTAGGACTTTTAAAAAAAGGGCTTTGACACTTTCACCTCTAAGACTTTTCTAGACCTAAAAATCATTTATAAGACCCACTAATAAAACTTGAACCAAAATAAGATCAATAAATCACCACTGCAGCTCATTTCTAGCAAATCTAGGAATTTATAAAATATTCTTGATTTCTATAATTTAATATAACTTTCAGAAAATTGCACCAGGAAACAGATGCATACTAATTAAAAATATAGATAGATCAAAATTTGAATTAAACATGACACAGTTACAGAGGATCCTATGTAGATTCCATATGAATTTATCAGTTTGCCTATTTCCATCCCTCGGGTAATCCACAAGTTTGTGGGCAAGAAGTAGCCAAAATATTGAAAATAACAACAGAACATAAATTGCAAAAGCAATTTAATTTAGGAGTGATGAGGATAAGAACTCTACAAAAGTTGCGTCTAAAACCCACATAGTAGCATCCACTACGAAAAATTAAGCAGTTAAAAATCATGGTATCCATAGGTAATCTGCAAGTGTTGGCATATCCTATGTAGGTAAAACTGTAAAAGTACCCGTACGGGGTCTAATATCAAAATTAATATGTCCCAACACGAATGAAGTGATTGGTTCAATAACTACCAAGGAATTATGGTATTATAAAAAAGAATCCAACGACCTAGATTGTATTAAGTTAACGAGTGTCCTAGGCAGAAGGCAGTGAGTAGGACCAAACACTCATGCATAAAATTTACCATCATGAAATCAGTGGCTGGTCCATATTCTAATTAACAACACGATGAGAGAAAAATGATAAATGAGAATCAGTGGCTGCCCATACCCTATCTTGCATCTCTTGCTTAATCTCCTCCAATTGTGGCCTCAAAAGCTGCACAAAAATGCAAATCATAAATATGCAGTGTTAATCTCCAACACAATGAGAGAAAAAATGATAAATGAGAATCAATAAGGAATCAAGACCAAACAATATGGGGAACATGATATCAACTAGAGAAATGCTATAGAAAAAGAAATTTTATACAAATTTTCAAACCACAAGGTAATTACAAATTGTCATTGCCACATCAATCTAGATGTTAATCCTCTTCAAAAGCTCTGTTTATCTTACAACTAGAAGAATGCCATTAGAAGTTTTCATAAGGTTCTAATTGAGATGAACTACTCTATTGCAATCAAATGCATTAATGAAAGTGATTCAAATTGTAAAAGTGTTCTACCTTCTCTAAAAATGCCATTCGTAACTTGATGATAATTAGATTATATCTATAAACTTATAGAAAAAAATTCATAGGTTTATATTTAGAGGCACCATGGGCTTACAAGAAAATAAACATGTATGATGCTACGTTGAAATTCACTTTAGCCTTCCCCTTTCTTCTCCATTTTTCCCCTTACTTCTTGGAGAAAAAGCATTCCTCCATTTTTGGTCTTTACAATTTTATAACATATCATTCCTAAAACCACATGCATGGAAAGAAAAATACAAATTCAATTTTTTAAGAAGAATAAATAAGAAAATTATTGGAATTAATGAACTCTATAACTTTCAGATTACGGCCAAATTCTTTCACAATTTCGCTCAACATGAAGGATCAGTGCTTATTGGCTTGTCATACATTAGCACACAGAAACAAGTAAAACTTAACGTGGGAACAAGTAACGGATCTTACACTCAATTTTGTAGTAGACGTGAGCTGGTTTATCAAAAGTGGAATTGTTGCCCCTCGAATGAGAAGAGTCGTCACAACTATGGATGCCCACCTAAATGGAATAAAACACTTTCTTCTGTCAAATCACATATCATTAATACTTTCACAGTATTCTGGATTCGAAACCATCAAATTATATGTTGCATCTTTTAAAAACATGGTGATTTCATATTCATAATGGCGACCACAGTTAGGGGGCACTTGGATTCAGAAAACATCTTTGAATGAATGCCTTATACAAGATTACAACAGAGATACCATCCCTCCCTCATTAGTGGGATATTGCAATACTGCTCAAGGTCATATTGTGGCAGAACACAAGACTCCTAACTCTTAGGGATCTCCTACCAAGGGCTCACATTGAGCATTCAACTAAATAAGACCAAAATGACATAGAGGGGGCGAAACAAAGAAAACAAGACGTAAGAAATGGCTAGTATGAGGGATAGAAGGGGGATATGAAAGTAAATGGACGTAAGAAATGGTTAGTATGAGGGATAATAGTTGCACGGAGCGAGAGCGGGGGAACGCGGCCACTTAGAGGAGCCGTAGATTAGGAGCGCTTATGTATTATTTTTATTAATTATATTTTATTTATTATAATAAATAAGGAATAATAAATTATGTTAAAATGAATAAAAAATAAAAATTAGATTCTTTATTTTATAAATTTTTTAAGATTTTTTTATTATATATGATTTAAATATATTTCTTTTAAACAATTAAATGATTTGTTTTATTTATTATATGTTAAAAAGTTAAGAAATAATAAATTTTGTTAAAAAAAGAAAAAAAGAAATAACAAATAAAAATTATATTGTTTATAATAAATTATATTATATAAAACAAATATGAAAACGGAGAGGGAGAGGGAGAGGGAGAGGGAGAGAGAACAGAGAATAGATCTAGAGAGAGAAGCAAACAGAGATCGACAGTAAGAGAAGAGAGGGACAAAGACTAGGGCTTCGAAGGGGAAGTCAAAGGGCGCGAGATCGAAGTCGTTGAACAGAGGATCGAAGCCAGCGACCAGATTCTCTCCTTGCCCTCTCAAGAATGCTTTCTTCTTGCATCATATTTGCATTTCTCTCTCCTCAGAATCGCGATTCTTCTTCAAAAACGCAGAATCGCACTTTTTCCTCAGAGTCGTCACCATCTAAGACGATTCCTACTACTGAGTGAGGGAAACAGGGGGAATAGGAAAGAAAAAGGGATGTACGAAATGGGTAGTATGAGGGATATAAGGGGCATATGATAGAAAAAGGGATGTAAGAATCATACATTTGGGCTTAATGATACTAAGCTCTTTGCACTGAAGATCCTCCTGTTTCATTCTTTCCATATGCACTAAAAGAGATGCAAGAGCACCGCTCCATATATTTTTATTATTCTTCTCTAGATTCATCATCCACTAAAAGACCTCCTTCATCAAATAATGACAACCGTGGGAGGGGGTGGAAGGCTTGCAAAAAGAAGTTAGCCGTGCCAACACTCCAGTTTTAGCTTGACTTTTTTTATGTACACTGGGTGGCTATTAGTGAGACACATGACTCCACATATATATTGAAGCAAGGCCCTTGAGCAAAATATTTTTGCTTATGCCACTACCCAATTTGACTAAACCAACAAGTTACTCTAATTCAGATTGTCCTACATTGTCCAAAAGAAGATACACATTGAACAATCAAACAACTAAATTATCAATTTGGAAGCAATAAAAAACAGTACATATACACACACATACACATATGTCAGTCTTAACCCCCCCCAAAATGACAGGGATTAGTGTTACAAAGAGGATAGGTGCTGCTCGTTTTTGTTCTTACTTCTTTAAAACCTATCAAAATTTTGTTTGTGAGGAGTTCAAAATTTCCAACCACAATGCAGCTGCGCCTATAGTGCCTTGAGAAAAATGACTTTCTCAATCCGAAATCGAACAACCCAATATTTTCCTAACAAGTGACTCACCATTTTCATGACAGATACAAATAAACCAACTTTACAAGAACACAGAATCCAAGTTCCAATACAAATTATAAATATAATGCTTCTATTACAGCTCCTTACCATTCAAATCCTGTAAACGAATGAACATTGTCGATCAAATACTGCAAAGCTGCCACAGGAAAAGCGGAATCCGCAGCGGCAATCGCAACTTCATTCGCAGCAGGGGCAGCAGAAGCCACAACCTCAGCAGTTTTATCGGCAAGCACTTCGGCAACATCGGCCGTATACTCAATTTTGTCAGCCCCTTCGCCGACAGCCGTGGACATGTGCCTACCCAAAACCGATCCCAGCATCGGAGAAATAGAGAATTGAGACCATCTCTGGTCTTGAAATGAAGTATTAAACCCTGCAAAAGTGTTGATTCGGCTTCCGAAGGATTGGTGTTGATGGAGAGTGTTAAAATTTCGATCTTTTTGGTGGGATTTGTGATCATTGTCGTCGCGATGAATGAGTGGAATTGATGGGGTGAAACGTTCTCGAGCGAGGAGGGTGAATCTTGTTGAGATACTACGCCTGTACGCCATTGATGCGAAGACCCAGCTGTGAAGGGTAGAGAAATTAGCAAACGAATCGTAAAACTGAAACCTAAGTGGTTAGAGAGAGAGAGACAGAGAGAGAGAGGGTGTGGTGATCCAGGAGGAGGAAGCAAGGGTTTAAGGTTCCAGTGAGATGCCCTCTCTTCAGATCGTTCGTTCGTTTGCCCTCGACCGGGCTTCTTTTTTTTCCGTTTTTTTTTATTATCGAATTTCAACTGGTCTCGAATCGATTGAATTTTATTTGGTCGGTCATTCGGCTGGTTATTCGATATGTCGATCGGTAAAAAGATTAATAGATGTTGTCGATATGGTAATAATTACGATAGATGAATATTGGACAAATTACAAACACTTGAGATTTTGTGAAAATGTGGATTAAAAGGTTAAGATTAAGTCAATTAAACGGCACACAGAGTATCTTGCTACAAAAATAAAAATTAAAAAAATAATTGTAATAATTTGTGATTTATAATTGAGTAAATTATAGTAATAATCCTTATATTTGGGTCCTTTAATTCTAATTGACTTTATTTTGATTATGAATTTATGATTTTATCTTAATTTGATTAAATTGTTAATTTTTTAAATGAAAAGTATACAAATAAACAACATGTAACAATTTTTAAAGGCAAAATTTTAACTCAGTTAGTTAACCTCAACTAAGGCCTATTTTGACAAGTTAGTTAAAAATCAATTTTTTGACTTTTTAGTTTTTTTTAGTCATATCACCTCTCTATTTTTTTTTATACATTTTTTGGAAAAAAAAAAATTAACTTTTAACTTACTTTTCAAAATACCCCTATCTCCATGATTATTTTTTTATCAAAAACCCTAACATTTTATCAACTTGACCAAATTGATACAAAATTTAAAATTTAAAATTAAAAGGTTAAGATTAAGTCAATTAAAAATAAATGAATCAAAATGGCACTAGGGATACAAATATGAGGATTACCAGTGTAATTCTTGCATCTCAAAAAAATAAAAATAAAAATCTCAATATATATCTCTTTATTTCAATAATCATTGCATCTTCAATTTAAAAACCCTAATTTTCTTTCATCCACTCACTCTTCTTATATTGTCTTTGCCGTCACTCTCTCCCCTTTATCGTTGTCACTGCTGCCACTCTCTCCTCTCTATCATTGTCATTGCCATCACTTCTAACTCTTCTACTTACACCCTAAACCTCCACATGCAACCATGAAAATAGGTGCTTTGCTGCAAGGGTTTGTGTTGGGTGGTCTCAAACGAAAGAAAAAATATGTGGCAAGAAGGGATGGCGGAGGAGAGACGCGGCGCTCGTGATGAAGGATGGTTGTGATGTTTAGAATTATGGTTTGAGTGAAATAAGATAAGAATATTATGATATCTTTATTTTAGAATAAAATCATATTAAGAAAAAATTTCATCAAATATGTGAACTTAAGGAAATTGGTGTTTACAAATAAAATTATCCAAAACTATGCCCAAACATACGGAAAAAAATTTATATACCCATAGGGTATCAAACACACCTAATTAAAATTACACATTTTAGTTTAGGATTACTATAATCGTTTTCACTATGTATATAAAAATAATTTTTTTTTAAAAAACACTCAAACTTTTTTTTCCCTTAAAATATACACATGACATCATTGATAAAAAATATAGAATAAGATTTGATTTACGATTGCGTCAACGACGACAATGGGGATAGCAATGACGTTGACGAGTAAAATTGCATTGACGACGGCAACAATGATGTTGACAAATGAGGTGTAGCCACCGATGATCCGCCCGGTGAATTTCGGCACGCCACCCTGAGCCATTCATCTATACAATTAACATGAAAGTAGTGATTGCATTCTGGTATGGTTCTCAAGGTTTCTTTGGGCTGGTACTCGGCCAAACAAATTGGGCAAGTGCCATCATTGGGCTTGGGAAGTCGCACGCTTTCACCGAGCACAGTCGTTGGGTAGGACTCTATGGTGGGCCGATCGAGGCCCATTATGATTACCATAGGCTGTGGAGTCCAGTTAGAGAGTTGAGCTTCAATTTGGCGTTGCTGATTGAATTTCTTGATCCTGCTAAGTGTAACATGAAAGCCCAATAAGGCAAACAGACCCAGGTATTCCAACTCCAATGATAATCCCATACTTAGCAGCCCTTGGTAGACCTATAAAATAGTAGTACTTTTGATGTAAAACTATTGACAAGCATATATATATATATATAATAAAATAAATAAATAAAGAATATTCGGGTTTTATTATTTCAAATTAAAACCCTAGACAAAGTGACTTATAATTTTAAAGACAAAATAAACATAAACAATTGTCTTGCTCTAGTTGAGTATTTAGCATAATATTTTTTGTTTAAAGATTACATTTCTTATTATCTTTGTGCTAAGGCCAAGTTTGGGAAGATCCAAAAAAGTCAAAAAGTCAAAAAGTTACTCAAAAAGCTAAAAAGTTAACACTATTCATCAAAAGTCATACACTAGTATATATATATAATAAAATAAATAAATAAAGAATATTCGGGTTTTATTATTTCAAATTAAAACCCTAGACAAAGTGACTTATAATTTTAAAGACAAAAATAAACATAACAATTGTCTTGCTCTAGTTGAGTATTTAGCATAATATTTTTTGTTTAAAGATTACATTTCTTATTATCTTTGTGCTAAATAAAGTTAGCAAGAATTTATAATTGTAAATTAAACCATCTCGTAGAGACCCCAAGGTTACAAGAGTGATAAATTATTCATTATTATGTGCGATATGTTGTACATGATATCTTCGTCATATATTAATGTAGTGTTTACACTAGTCAATAACTGAGATATTGTATGCAACATTTATATACACCGAGCCGAATAATCTTCACAGGAGATTAGAGGAATAGTGAAAGTAGGGATCATTTGGAAGCCTTGGTTAACACCACCTTCTTTTTTAAAAATATTGTGAATCATAATACAAAGTAGGTGTTTAGAAGTTATTATTTTAGTAAGCTATTTTAGTAAGTTAAAATTTTTGTATTTTGAAAGATGGTTGAATTTCTTTGTAATTATATGATGTTTATGAGAGAAAAAATGAAATGATTATAGATTTGACGTAATATTTTGTTTGATTAGCTATTTTAACCTATTTTATCATTTTATAAATTTTAGCCAAAAAAAACCTTTATCAAACACCCAAAATACTGAGTCAAATTAATTGTTTGTCATCCGAAACTTCCATTTGACTATAGGGCTATATGTACAGCCTTTGACTTATTATGACTTATTAAAATACAGGAAGGGTTGCATAATCATGAAAGCAAGGTGACAAACACACCATTCTTCAATTTGAACATCTCCAAATTGGTTGTTGAGATTGATGACGTTTTATTATTAACTGGTAAAGGAGAAAATAATAATCATCATATTTGTGATTATAATTACTTCTTAACATGGTTAGGGGAATCAGTGGGACTAGGATTAATCAAAGTTTTTGTACTTGGAGATTAATAGTTTGAATCTTTTTACCTGCATGTAAATCTAATTTTTTGTGTAATTATTGAAAAAAATTTCTTCTTACTTTTAGAGTTTCTTTGACTAATTTGTATGTTATATTAAATTTTTGTCATTATATATTGTCACGAAACAGGGAAGCAATATCCTAGTTAAATTATAAAATTTTAATATTATCTTTAGGGAAAATTCTAAATATATATAAAATTAATATTAAAAATTTGACAAGAATGATGCGACAATATCATTATTATAAATAAATCCATCTTTAATTGTGTTTTGTTTTGAAGTTAAAGTTCTACAATGAGCCACATCATTATGTATTAATTTTTTTTGTTTATATAACATTACTCTTTTATTTTTTTAAGAAAATACCTGTAAAAAAATAAAAAGAATAATTTGACAACTTATAAAAAGACTAACATCGCTTTGCATCCAAACATAAACACGAAAAAAGTCTAAAAAGACGATTATTATTAATTTTATTAAGAAAAAGATAACCTAGGTGCCATTACCCCCACCAAAATAAATAAATAAAAATGAAATGAGAGCAAAATAAATAAATGAATAGAATGAATTGAAGTTTTTTTTTTTTTTTTTGAACGAGGAATTCAATGTTGAATTTTCTACCTAATGCTGTCACTATCCTATGTCTCCTCTTCGAGTTGAATGTCTAAAACTTGTTTGTCTTTGTGTTATTGAGATGAGACCACAGATTTAGACCAATACTCCCTTTCATTCACTGCCTTTCCTAAGCTGACTTCTTTTTCCTTTTCTTTTTTTGGAAAGAAAATAATTCAAATTTTTTTTATACATAAATCACTCAAAATAATGTGATAATTACATTTTTGCACAATTATTGAAATGGAATGATATGAAGAGATCACATTATTTTGTATAAATTTTATGTTTAAATTTTCTAATTATATAATATTACTTTTTCTTTTTAATTTTTTAAACTGACACTACAAAAAAATTGACTTTTTTGCGTTGGCAAAACGTCGTCGCAAATATTCAAAATGCCGTCTCAAAAGAGTTTTTGCGATGACAGATGACTTTTAGCGACAACAAGTGGGGGTCGCAACAAAGGGGGTCACAAAAAGGTTTTAGTGATGGAGAAAGAGAAGAGAGAGACCGAGAGAGATAAAGAGAGATGAGAGAAAGATTGAGAGAAGAGAGATGAACAGAAAGACAGAGAGAGATGAGAGAGATAAAGAGAAGAGAGATGAGCAAAAGAGACAGAAAGAGAAAAAAGATGAGAGAAGAGATAGATGAGTGAAAGACACACACAGAGAGAGACATAGATAGACAGACAGACAGAGAGAGAAGAGTGATGAGTGAGAGAGAGAAAGAGAAAGAGAAGAGAGAGAGGAAAATGAAAAAATAGGTGAAATAAGAGAAAGAGAGAGAGAAAGAGTAAAAAGAGATAAACGAGAATGAGACAGAGAGAGATGAGGGAGAGAAATAAAGAAAAGAAAGACAGAGAGAGAAGAGAGATAGAGAAAAGAAATATGAGCGAGAGACACAGAGAGAAAGAGACAGATAGACAGGCAGAGAAGAGTGATAAGTGAGAGAGAGAAAGAGAAGAAAGACAAAGACACATAAAGAAAGAGAGACAGCCAGATAGAGAAGATTGATGAGTGAGAGAGAGAAAGAGAAGAGAGACAGAGACAGAGAGATAGGAAGATGAAAAAATTGGTAAAAAGAGAAATGTTC